TTTCTTACAAATCATCGCCGAGGTCGCAACCACTACTTCTTACAAGTAATAGTTAGTGATTTCAATATGGACACAGGCAAAGTCACGTGACTCAAGTCTGACCAAGGGGCAAGGGTACATCATTACTACTACATGACTATGACTCTTGCCAGTCTTGGTCTGACCAAAAAGGGAAAGTAATTACATGTAGCTGCAAGAGTCCGTGCACTCTTGGGATCGATGGAGTGGTACTGGACCTACTGGTACTAGTGGTAGAGCGGCGTTGGAGACGGTAGGACCCCCTCTACTCGTTGAGTCAAAGAGCTCGACATCAACTAGTGAAGACCCCGTCTGATCTGTACGTGTAGCTGTGGGATGCACCGACGTATTAGTAAAGCGGGGATGTTTGTTTTCCCCTTCAGAATCACCTCCCTCAAGCAGGGTACTGTCTACATTACACAGGACCTTCTGAAGTGTTTTCGGTGGTTTTTCTAAGCAGAGACAGAGTCATCATGATTTTTTGTTCAAGCGAGTGCGGTGCAGGTGCTCATCTCTCGTTGCCTATCATGCCCCCCCCCCCCCCTAGGCTATAGGCTATGCTATAGCGCTATGGCCAAACCAGGGAGTCGTCAAATACCAGGGAGTCATATTTGACGACTCCCTGGGCCAAACATTGGTACTTGCACCTACATTGCAGATCTACAGTAGTTCCAAAATGAGTTTTGCAGTTGCGGGCGAAACTTTTCTCCAGCCACACGACGCGACCTGGGACTCTGGGAGTCAGGTTTTACCAAGAGTTTGTACTTTTGGTTTTACATGTACCGGTACAATCAAGAAGAGTTTTTGTTTTGTTTTTGTTTTTTACTATTATTCACAAACCCAACTCGTAAAATAAATAATTATGTGGACAAAAACAAACAGCTACTGAGCAGGGGCTGCACTGGGCAGCAGTGATGGTGAGGTACCAGGGGCTCCACCGACCAAAGGTCTCGGCTTCAATGCCACAAGCACGCACCAGGAAAAAGAAACAGAAATGTAAAGCAAAGCTAGATCTAGCTATGGGGAAGTAGAATGGGTAAAAGTACCGGTAGGTGTTTAGAAAAATAAAAACAAGATGAAAAGAGATTGTTTATTATCAGTGTTTGGACTGATGTACATGTCAACTTCATCAACCAAAACGTATGAACTTTTTTAATAGATCTGAAACGAAACTCGCACAAAGAAGTGTAAAGAAAACAAGCTAAAAAACAGAAAAATAATAAGGCACCCATTTTGATAATCCAGGGGATGGCCCACGCCTGGTAAAAGAATAAGCAGAGAAAAGAAAAGAATCATAACAAGTTTTTCCATGTACATGTACATGTATGCAAAACACAGCTGAGCACTCTGAGCAAGGCCAGCGGGTCCGGCAAGCGACGGGCTCGAAAAATTACAGGGAATCTGTTGCCCAGTACCAGTTGCTGTCTCTCAGGTGTCGGTAGACCTTTGTCTTGAATGACTGAAAACGTGTTTTGTGTGGGCGCTGCGACAGCAGCCTGTCAGGAAGGGAGTTCCATGCGCCAATACAGCAGTACGGGAACGACCGCTTCACGACGGATGGAGCTGAGACAGGGAGCGTGTCTGACAGTTGATAGGCGTGGCTGGTGGCATTATTGTGCTGGTTCCTGGTTCTGGGGTTGGCTGGAGAAACGCGATGCGGTGGCAATACAGCAAGTAGCTGAGGAGGACCAGTAATGAAATGCAATTTGTACATGCACGAGAGAGCAGCAACAGTCCGGCGGACAGCCAGACTCAGTACGAGGTGATTTGTAAAAATTTTACATGGCATATTATTTTACAAATCGAGTAAAATTAAATAATATTATCACTGTTGAGGACGATTGCATTCTTCCCATGAAGTGTTTTTGTTAGTTCGACAGACAAGTGAGTTGCCATTGTAATGTAGTTTGTAAGCATCAGCAGCGTTTAGCGGAATTGTTTTCTTCCACGGCCTTGTGAGATGTCAATCATGGATCGAAATTCGTGAATTTGTGGTCAATGAGGTAAAATATCCCTCAATGGATGCTTGAAGAACGTCCAAGAGCCAGCGAGCATATTCTACGGCAGGTGGAAACCCTAGGCTGGTCACCGATGCCAGCATTGAGTCTGTCACACCGTCAAAGTAGCAGGGCTGAAGAAGAGATTAGCCAAAAAGGTGAAGGTCAGAAACCGTGCTGCAATTTTGACAAAAGGTGTCTTTCACTCACCTATCATGAAAGGTGATTCAAATCCAAGTCCGAAGCTGCTGATGCTTATGGCATACAGGTTAATAATTAGCTGTTCAGTAGAGCTGCGTATGAAACTCAGCTTGCTACCTCAGAAGTGCTGGTAGAGATTCACGATGGCAAAGTGCAAATTCAGGAAATGCGGCATGAATGTATGTTGGGGGTTGACGGCGGAGCACCCATTGAGGGTGGTCTGCAGTCTTCTTCCAACACAGAAGTATTATGAATCAGGTGAAGGAGTCACTGCACTTGTCTTGGAGAGTATGAAAGCCCCAACATTGTCAGTATGTGCCGGTTAAATGCACTGTGGCCCAGATGCACGAAGGCACCCTGTCGTGGGACGGCCGGCGCGCATCATGGATGGTATTTTGCTTAGTGTGGTTATTTCACGTAAGAGGATGCACTGCAAGTTGAAAGAAATGGAGCAGCAAGATAAGGTCTGCGTTCTCATGCTCTACAATGCCGGCAGGCGGTCAAAGATACCCTACCGTTTGGAACCGCAATTGACGACGTACAGAAACCAATACGTAGGGCAACCTGCAAAACCAGTCTGCTTTCTCTGCATGTGACTTGCTTCAGATGTATCTTGATTTCCCATTGAAAGCTTCTTGACACATTCAGGTCATATTTGTTGATGTTAGACCCTATTTTACTGACTTGTAAAATTTTGTACACACTTTTTCTGGGTGAAAAAATGCATGCAAAGCAACCCCACACTGTGACTCCCATGTTTGTGGTGTTCGATCAAGAAGTCCATACGTGGATAGAGGACATACATAGTGACAGAATGAGACCATGCACACTTCAAAACTCGCCAGGGCAACGGAATGATAGCCTTTTTTACTTTCATGTAAAATTATTACAAATCACCTCGTACAGTAGTAGAGTCGTGCGCTGAAGAACGTGGAGCCCAAGAACGTCCAGCCTGAAAATACTAAGAACGCCACAGCCTAGCCTAGCGAACGGCGGTGTTGGCTTTCTGGCAGCTTGTGGGATACTCGTACTCCCTGACTAGTACATGTACATTGTACATCCAGTACGCACTGTTTCTAAGAACGTGCTATAAGAACGTGCTATAAGAACGTGCTATAAGAACGTGCTATAAGAACGTGCTATTAGGGCGCGCTCACACTGCGACCATGAGCACGCGTCCATGCGTCAGAAAAACGCAGAAACGTGGAAGTCGTGCTCACACTAGGCCTCGTAGACGCGTAGACGTGAAGTTGTCACACAAACTTTACGAATTGCAGTTCGTATCCAAAAGAGTTCGTGCGTTTCCTAATAAAGTTGTGGCCCGTTTTGGATGTAATTTTTCACATGTTGCATATGCGCATGTTGGAGGAAGTGCCTCGTGGCTCGTATTCTTGAAGTCGACGAAAATAATTCATACAATCAGGTAGGTTTGGACTCTTGAGGGACTGCCATGCCGCTGACATCCAAGCGCTTTCGCTTTCGCTTTCCTGACCTCGTGGTCAGAGCAAGTGCCAGTGCAGTGGAAATTCCGGTAGTGGTTTCTTTCGTCTGTTGCCGAGATGAGAACTGTATTTTCCGATGATATGTAACTGAAATGTCTTGAGGTATGGCATTCCTTCATCGCAGAAAAGTAGAGAAAGATGATTTCCGAAACCGAAAAGCCAGACCAAGCTGCCATCGTATTGAACGAGTACACTGTAGAAATTGGTCACTGACCCGATCACAACGAAGCAACTACAAAAACAAAAACAAAATCGACATCGTCCAAAAAGGGCAAAGAATGGCGGTGCGTGCGTGCAGGACCACAACTACAAAATTTTAAAAATGTGCAAATGTCGAGGTGACATCGACAACCGCCGATTTTCATGAATCAACACACCGGAATTTGAGAAATTGAACATACTTCAGGCCAGGTTGTACACAAATACGCTTCACGTCTACGATCATGTTGCCGCCAAGTCGTGGCACCCCCCTCCGGAGGTCGCGGTCACGATTTGAAACGTGGCCGCGACGTTTTGGTCAAGTTCATGCCGTTGCCATGCAACTTGGCCGCATGGCCGCATGGACGCTGGTTTTGGTCGCAGTGTGAGCGCGCCCTAAGAACGTGCTATAAGAACGCAGCCAGATTGCTTTAAAAAATAAGAACGTCAGAGAGTCATGAGGCTTACTTACCCCCTGGCCTTGGAAACAACGACACGTTCTTGGGCGCGCGACTCTACTGTAGAATCTGTTTATCTGCTAGCTACTAAGTACTATGTACATGTATCACGCGAGCTCGGTAGAATGTGGATTGTGAAAGCAAGAACACAGAACCAAGCTCAGTCAATGATGACATTGTGCTGCATGCCGCTTTACTTTGTCTTGCTTTTGTGACGGCACCATTACAGTCATAATCATTACATGAGCAGCCACTCCCAAAAAGTCCTAAACGTTGGGTCTCTTTTCCCAAAACAGGACTGGCCGCGCCACGGCCACTTTCACTTTCCAGTACAACCGTACGGTGGAAAAGTACAAATCTTGCTAAAATAATTTGATTATTTGCAGCCGAAACTGTTTATCAGTGTGATATGCCGATTTATGGAGAACATGCGTGCGATTCATGTGGGTGTCGCAGACCTGAGCAGTGACTGAGATCGTGTCCGATGTTAATCGTAGGTCACGCACCTGCCTGCTAGCGCTAGCTGCATCTGTACCAGACTCCAGACTGACCAGAGTGCGGATCCTTGCGCTCCACTCCAGACTGCACTCCACATCAGGCACATCTGCACTCGGAAGTGTGTTGGGCAGCAAAAAAGGGAGGGTGACTTGTTAACTTTTGTACCCGCTCAAGACTCACCAGATCCTTCGTGTATTTTTTTGGTTGCTTGACACCATCCCTGTGGCGGATCGGACAGAACTCGGAGGGGAGCCAACAGCTGCTTGGTTTTGAGCTGCGTTCCTAGAGCGCTTCGCCGACAGTAGCTTTTCCTGTCCAGCATAATTTTCTCGTCTGGTTTAGTCCGCGAGTGGGATCAGTTGTAGTATTTTGGGACGTGCAAAAGAGCCGTGAAGTGGGTCCTACTCTTCAGGTGCCTTTAGCCGGTGACAGCGGTGTCTACGTAAAAGCTCGGCTGGTGTGCTGTGAGCCTGCTCCAGAGCCCTTGTATTGTCCAGTGGAGGTGCATCCAGGAACGAAATCACGATGGTTGACAAACTAGGTAAGAAGAAAGCAACAACTCTCTTATCCTGCGAGTCGTGTTTCTTATTTTGATGAGACCAGATATCAGTCGACCAGTGGTGACTTGAACGTTTGTGTTGGAAGTTACCCAGTAGTCGTGACTTGTGTTATTTTTTGTCAACGAGAGAATGGCGTGTACTTATTGTCGGAAGCCTGGCAAATCCAACTCTATGCGCTCCACCAAGTGCCGATTTGTGTCTGAACTGAGGCTTTTCTTCCACTGGGCGAGTGAGATGCAAACTTTAGGTCAATACGAAATTATAGAATGTTTTGTTATTGATTTGTTTCAGGGATCTTTTGCATTGTAGGTCGTAGTTTGAGGGAGATGAATTTATCTTGAAAAATGTTGCTGCCTTTTTATTTTACTGTTGTCCCAATTCCCATTCATGTAGTGTCGCATGCCCTTCGAATCTGTTTGAGAAGTTTTAGCTGACAGGACGTACATCCTATATCTGCACCTGGGGCAAGGGTTTGCAGAAGTGTGCTTCACATCCTCTCACACAATGCATACTTATCTGAGCGCAGCGTGGCACGTGTGGACGGCCTTCCTGCGAGGCGTTTGGGTCATGCCAGCCCTGAGAATGAAAATAACTGGTCTAGGGCCACTGTAGACAGCTAAACTGAGACCAAGGTTCAAACTGGATAATGTATCATGGTATGAAAGTGTCCTGATATTTGATTACAATAATGTAACAACACATGGAATAAATTCATTTGTTCAAACCAGTGCACCAAAATGATCAGCTTGCCTGCCCCCCCCCCCCCCCCCCCTTATTTTGTGTCTGCATGCTTGTCATTATGATCCACCAGGGAAGAGCCGTTTTTTTTTTTTTTTTTTGAAACTCGCAGTGCGACGCACCACACCGCGATTTTGTACAGCTGTTTTGACAGAGAAAGAGGGAGAGGGAGAGAGATAGATCTTGTAGCGTGATATTCTAATCATCAGTTGTCAGCTGCTAATACCGGTAGTGTTGCACTCCTCACAGTGACTTGCTAGCTACAGCTGGTAAACAGTTGTGTGTCAAACTTTCACACGTCAATAATATCTACATCTCCTAATGTCAGGCATGGTGGTGGCCTGGCGCAAGCAAAATTCCCTGTGCTGATTGTATAGCCGGTGGTATCGCGGACGTGCGAACTTTACTTTACTTGACTACCTGTAGTTGAGTGATGGTTTGAAGACATGCAGCTCTTTTAATAATAGCTTGTAAACTGGCGGTCAGTGCCGAACATCTCGTGCTTTACTGTCTGCCTGCGAACGGTTCTGTCACACCTTGCAAATCCATACTCTCTCTCTCTCCTCTCCTCTCACCGTCGCCATCAGTTCGCGCCTGGTGCAGTCAGACCTCGCTTATCCGGTCCTCTTTTATCCGGATCCCTCGCCATCCGGAAGAAAATCGTTGGTTACCGATTTACAGCATATGCCATGCATACATTCAGTATGTGTGTTCGATTATCCGGTTCCGTCGCCTATCCGGATATTTTTGTGGAAAACGGATGTGTGCGGTTATGCGAGGTGTGACTGTACCATCCATTGACTAGGCGCCATGCACGGACTGATGGTGGTGAGGAGAAGGAAACAGTATAGACTCACAAAATGTGACAGAAGTGTTTGCAGCTTCATCATAGATAGAGGGTGTACTACTTGGCGTGTGTTGAAAGCCTGTTTTCAGCTCATGCTAGCACTCTAAGTACTCCGGCGAAGGAACTCAGTTGAACTCTGGCAGTTAGAGTCAGCCAATGAAGATGGGTAGTCGTACCGGACTTTTTCAGTGGCTGGGATAGAGGGTTCTGTTTCTTTCTATCTTGGCGTCCCGCTTTGCCCGGTGCAATACTGGATTTCGAAAGCAGGGAAATCATATGTAGTCTGTAGGGCTTGGTACGGAGGCGGAGAGCACAGTTTTGAGAGAGAGAGCACATTAGTAGAAGATTGATTTTATACCTCCAAGGCATGCGCTTTTGTAATATTACTCATCCAGCCCAGTACAATCCATGTTCACCGGTAGAAGAGTAATTCTACACCCCCGAGGGCATGTGCTTTTCTAATATTACTCAATCTCTGGGTTGCTGCGTCTCTTTGGTGCAGCTCGGAGTGACTGACCGAACCAGTCAAGTGACCAGCAAATCATTTTTATATAGCCTCAAATCAGTGTTTTTGTAATGTCACTAAAGTTCTTCATCTGACAATAATTGTGTTTACTGTAGAGCAGGAAGTTTTAGCGATTGCCTTTAACTGGTCGCTGAAATTTCTGGTTGCAAAATCGGGTAGTGGGGATATCCCCACCGTGATTACTTGTTACCCAGTGTCCAGGCAAGCATGTGAGGGCGTATTTGTTTGGTATGGCGTAGAAGTGGTGCCGCAAGACCAGCGGGTGTGGTTGGAAAAGCTGCACCTGTCCTGGACCAAGCAGAACATGCTTGCTTGCTCCGGCGTTGAGGCCAAAACAGCCGGAGCATGCTCTGTTTGCACCGCTGTTTGAACCTCTTCTACATCCTACCAGCCAGCTACAGCCTGAGATGCTTCCTGTATCCTCTTTGTATTTCTGATTAGAAATTGTCACTTATCATGCTTGTGTTCCGCCTTGTCTTTTTTCTGCTGCAGCGAACAGTGAGGCCAATCTCCGCCGCATCATGATGGTGGAAAGTGCCTTTGGCGGTGCAGGAGAGGTGAGTGAACCAGATAATTTCGACAGGGGCGGAAGTTAAAGACGGATGGGGGGGGGGGGGATCAACGTAACTTTGCCTTGACTACTGTACAGGCAGAAAAATTCGTCAGTCAATAATTTCGTCCAAAGAAAGGGAGTTCGTCCGGTTCTAAATTCCGTCCATGGATCATGAGATTGCATTGAAAAGCTGGCCAAATCGACGTTAGTCTGGCATTTATTTTTAGTCCAAAAGCTCCTTGGACAAAAAAGATAAAATTAAATTCCAGACGAATATTTCTGCTTATGCAGTATGTTGTGTCATTATCGTAAGAAATGTGATCGTCTGAATTGTTGCAGAACTTCCTCTCTCCTTGCCATGTAAAAAGTTCTGGCCCAGGGCGTAGAGTACTCTCCAAGCAGTGCAGCATTCTACTTTTTTTTAATGTACAGTCCACTCTTGATTATAACGAACACCATTGAGCAGGAGAATTAGTTCTTTATAGCCAAAGTTCGTTATAACAAAAATGCACTTACACACGGGTTCAAACTGGGACATGGACAATGGTTCGCTATATCGCGAAATTCGCTATATGCGAGTTTGTTAGAAGTGGAGTCGACTGTAGTAATAATTATACCATTGGGTTCTGTTGCATGAGTTGGTAGTTGGAGCAATCCTCTGATGCTGGGTACGTTCTGTTACATTTCGTGACCCCATCACCAGTTCGTTGCTTACGTAGGCGTATCGTGCTAATCAAAATTCTTGTCTGCGTCGTCTCGATGCCTCGAAGCTGAGATTTGAAGATTTCCAACGCTGTGCAACACCAACCCGGTGAAATGCACCAAAACAGGGCTGTGCTCGGTTGGTTCACTCTTGGTCTGCTCTTGTATGTGCGCGCGTGTGTGTATGTGTGTTCATGTGTGCCCGTGTCTGTTTTCTGTCTCGCAGGCGCTTCAAAAATCTGGCCGTGTACTGGTTGGAGAAGGAGTATTGACCAAGATTTGCCGGAAGAAGCCCAAGCCAAGACAGGTAGGTGTAGTCACAGGCGTTGTTGTTGTTTTGCTGCTGTTGTTGTTGTTGTTGTTGTTATTTTTTATATTTTAGTACACCCAACTCGCAACACACGGACAGTCCTAGGTTACACCACGTACAGTAAATTGTCAAAATTTCACCCAGGAGGGCATCATCATTTATTTTACTTCCAGGTATATAAACAGGCAAGAAAATGCCTTCTCACTAGACCAGGTCTAGTTCTCACAAAGAATCTGGGTGTATAGTATAGCTTGGCAGAAGTTTCTACATCTACTTCGATGCACCGCTATTTTTCCATGGCCGTGCATGTGAGTAAGTTCAGCATGGGGTAGACAGTACTGGACACCTCCAGCGCCAACCCATTTTCTGTGTTCATGTTACTTTGGCCTGGCGAAGGAGTACACAAGTCGCTTTTGTAGCAGTGCGCTGTGTAATTCTATACAAAAGTCTGGATTCGTGAATTTAGAACTAACTTCGAAAGATTGAATCTGGTGTCATAACTAATGTTACTTTGTAAATTACAGAGAGGACAGAAACATTACTGTTCGGCTCACAACAAGAGAGAGAGATAATGGAAGCAAGGCAAAAAGGCAAGGAGCGGCGAATTCTGCTCACCTGCTGAATACGGTGTACGGTACAACTATACCAAAAGGGAAGGCCAGCGGCGCACTGGAATCTAGTTGTACACAGCTGTAGTACGCATGCAAATAAGGATAATACGGTGCGGAAGTGAACGGCGCATGCTGATACGGGAAAGCGGTCGTAATACATATAAGTGTGACCGCGAGACCGGAGAATTTCATGAAGCCAATACTATGAGAATTTCATTGAAACCGAAGTAAATCAGGTCATGTGACCGAGAATCCGCTACACTTTGTGCAATTTGAGCACGCTCCAGCGTCGCTCGCATTGTACAAAATGCCGGTGCGCCCCATTACCACCTTCAGTGTGTTGCCCACTAACAGCATTCCGTTGTGAACTTGTGTCTGCTACAGTTTTTCCTTTTCAACGATGTTCTAGTGTATGGCAACATCGTCATCGACAAGAAGAAGGTATGTGTCAGTTAGGCTCGGTGTTTGCTCTCACCTTGCAAGCTGGTCTTAGAACTGTGGCTCTTTTTTTCGGCACCATACATCGGTGGAACTCCTTAACCTGCCGTACTGATGTTGTGCAGCTGTGCCAGAATTTCATAGGGCGGTAAAATAAGTTGAAATGGTTTGAATACTGCGTAGAAGATAGAATATTCGTTCAGTGATGGTCGAAGAATTCATGTTTGGTTTAGGGGCTAAAGTGTGCAGCGAGATGCCCAGTTCGAGTACATGTAGGTGCTACAGTCCATTTCAAAACTATAGACGCGTACCTAGGCAAAAATCGTTATGCCAGCATCTATACCACATAAAATCTGTGATCACTTTGTGCATAAATTTTTCCAAATTGGGCGTCTGTTATCCAATCCTTTAGAAACTATATGAGAGTGGAGCGATCCTGAGCAATATTCCGAAAACTATTCTCAAAAAGTCCCAGCCAAATTTGAAATATTTCAAAAACCCTACGCGTCTATAGTTTTGAAATGCACTGTAGTACTCTGATTACCACACAGCCAGGGAGGTTCCGGAGTACGATTTTTCGTGCCAAAATCCGTGGAGGCTCTACGGATTTTTTATACGTCGTTTTCGAGCAGTGAAAAGTTCCGGGGTACGGAACTTATGTGTTTGCCGTCATTGCCTAGGTTACTATCGCAAACACGTCACATTCCCGCGCTATGCCTTTTTATTTTGAAAATTTGTACCGAAATCAAAACTTCCCGCGAAAAATCGATGTTTCTCGTACCAAATTTGTACGCGAAAAAATATTTCTGCACCCGATGACGCAAAATCTCCATACGAAACATGGTTCGTATAAAAGCCAGTCCACACGGATTCTCCGTGCCGAAAAATCGTATGGAGCACGCCTGGAAAAAATCCGTAGCGCCCATACGGATTTTGGCACGGAAAATCGTACCCCGGAACCTCTCTAATATCCACTGCTTGCTGCTCTGAAACTGCTGAGGTCTTACAAGTAGCCTCAGCTGACGTCAATTTACTTAGTTGTTCCCAGGCTGTCGTTGTAGTCGCCCATGTGCCGGATTTTACGTCAATGCTGGGATGACGAAAGCTTAGTATACTGTAGACGTAGCTGGAGCTAGCTTCCTCTTCAGAGTGTGACTAAGCCACGTAATTGTGTGCGTGCGTCTGCTCCTTTGCAGTACAACAAGCAACACGTCATGTCACTAGTGGATGTACAGCTAGCGTCTTTGGACGATAATGGCGGTGAGTGTCGGAAATCATGTGCCCGCAAGCAAGCTGTCGCAGTGTATGTTTTGAGTCTGTTTGTGTATGTGTGTGTTTTTGTTTTGGTGGTGGCGGTGGGGTGGGGTTATGTCTACGCACAACAATGTACTGTCGTGAACATGGAAATCCGGTCGTATCTCAAGCTATCCAGGGTGCTGGCCATGCAGCCGTGTGTACACATGCGATCAACACATGCGCTGCACGCAATGGAGGACACCAGGCCCGAGTCATTCGACCCGATTTCCATGTCCAAGGCAGTACTTCAATGTAGAACTTCCTTTGGTACGGCTTTATTATTATTATTATTATAGTATACCTTTTTGATCCTTGTCAGGAGGATCTAAGCTGTAATAGGGTATTCACACGACGGGCAAATCCACGTGCACCGGAAAGTTGCTATGGTGTTTTACCTGTGAACGAGAAAAGTGGCTGAAAAGTCCAAGCGAGCTGGGGGCCCACTTTCACGATAATCGTGGCGTGCACGAGTACATTTACACCAAAAAGCGCTAAACAAGACTTGATTTTTTACGCGGCTCTTAATAATTATTTTCAAAACGAAACTCCATCAAACCCACTCACCCCCAAACGAAAACATTTCGTTTTGAAAATATTATTGGTAACCTTGGACGGCCCCTTAGAACATGATAATTATTGTATGCGTGTTTTGAAAATTTGAAATACCCATGGCTACTGGTCCGTGAAGCATTCAAAAAGGCAAACGTGCCTGTCGTGAAGTGCAGCTGTGTGAATCCGCACAGTCACTTTTCTCGTATGTCACTCCCTGTAAAACGTGCAAGTGCTTGTCGTATGAATACCCTATAAGGCGTTTTCTAACTGAACTTTCAGTGGATTAGAAAATGGAAGGAATTCATTTCCTATTCATTGGTTTGAGGGAAAGATGCAAACTGGAAAAGTGCGCGAAGAAAATGTTCACTGTCGCCACTAGGACTAGAACCAGGGGCATTCTCTTGAGGCCAGCGATGCTCTAACCGCTGAGCTATGGTGTAGCTGTAATTCATTTCCTATCATGGTATTTTTATTATTCTGTTGCGTGTATTGTGATTTGCGTACAGAGCTAAAGTATGGCTGGCAGATCATCTCCCCGCACAAGTCTTTCGCAGTATATGCAGCCACGGCGACCGAGAAAGCCGAATGGATGGCACACATCAACAAGTGCATCAACGACCTTAGAAAAAAGAGTGAGGATCTTCTTCTTTTCTTTCCACTGAATGTTGTGTATCCAGTTCCAGATGACATGTGTGTGGGTTCGAGCATGCAGGCTAGTAACGATGGCAGGAGAATACCTTACACCATGTTGTCTTAGGAGGGATAGTTTCTGGCCAGTGCAGTAAAAGGCCGTAGCTTTGTTAAGAAACGCACTGATTGGGTATTTCTGGTCGTGTCACCAATGTAGCATGTGTGACTAGAAAGTGGTGTCCGGATGTGTGTGCACGCACACGTGTGGGTGTGCCCTTTCAAGACGTTTAGTTTAGGTTTGGTTCCAGCGCAAGTAGGAGTGTGTTTGCGCTGTTATTGCTTCAGCGATGGTCTGATGTAAACTTTGTGTGTGTCTGTGTTTGGGACAATGTTGTGTGCAGGTGGTGTAGAGGGACCGTCGGTAGAAGGCGCAGCTGTATGGGTACCAGACAGCAATGCAACGATGTGCTTGGTCTGTGAGAAGACAAAGTTTTCCGCCATCAATCGTAGAGTGAGTCGAAGTCGTTGTGCATTGCTGTGCTCTCTCTCTCTCCTTCTCTCTCCTCTCTCTCTCTCTCTCTCTCTCTCTCTCTCTCTCTCTCTCTCTCTCTCTCTCTCTCTCTCTCTCTCTCTCCCTCTGTCTCTCTCTCTCTGTGTCCCCCCCTCTCTCTCTCTCTCTCTCTCACTCTCTTCTTTTCTCTCTCTCCTTCTCTCTCTCTCTCTCTCTCTCTCTCTCTCTCCCTCCCTCCCTCTCTCTCGCTCTCCTCTCTCTCTCTCTCTCTCTCTCTCTCTCTCTCTCTCTCTCTCTCTCTCTCTCTCTCTCTCTTCTCTCTCCTTCTCTCTCCGCAGTGAGTGCCCGGATACTAGTAGGATGAAACTATCCTTGTAGCTGTTGGCCACTGTGGTGCCAGGCTGCTTGTGTTCAAAGGCCATTAGGCAATACACATAGATGTACTGCTACTATGCTGCTGCTCAATGAAATTGAGTCCATGCCACTGCGGGCGCTGTCCAGCCCTAGACCTGCGAACACCCCAGCATGTGAACAGGGTGCAGGGCGTGACTCTCGCGATCGGATTTCATTGAGCAGCAGTGTAGGTGTTACACCAAACGTGCACAGCCCTGATGCATTCCCGGAATCACAAGTTCTACGAGTGCTTTGCACAGACCTCAGCAGGACCTTGCATTGGCGAGTATAGGATTTCGCTTGCCACAGCTCTACTTGGTATCTGTTTGCAGGTGTGGGCTTCTGAATAACAGCAACGCACAGTCACATAAACACCAACCTGGCCAATCACGTGTGGCGACCACATGTTCAATTTCTCTTTACTGCTCTTATTGACGGTGGTTTACTTCTCGGCGTTGTGTTTGTGTGTTCAATGCTCTGCACCGTGTTGCAGCACCACTGCAGAAAATGCGGCACGCTCGTGTGCGGCAACTGCTCCAAGCACAAGTGGCTGCTGCCGCAGATCAGCAACAAGCCGGTGAGGATCTGCACTCGCTGCTACGCCGCGCTGCGCTCGTCTCCGGAGTCCGCTGCCACGGCCACCGCGCCGGGCTCTGTGCCCGACAGTCCGGCACCGGTCACTTCCAAATCTGCCGCAGCACCTGCGGCGGCCGCCTCGGAGGAAGCACCCGAAAGCAGCGCGGAGTAAGTATTGTTTGTCAACGCTGTTACCTGTAGCTATCACGTTACAGTACAACCTATGTTTGCCGAACCCTGTACCAAGCGCCATCCTGTATTGACCAGACAGATTCTCATGCACCAAAGTGCTGTGTGTCAAACGTTTAGATTGCCGGGCAATACTGTTGCACCCTTGTCTGGGCCAAAGCGCTTCACATATGTTGCACTCATGCAAAGGCACAGTGTATCCCAAGTGAAACCCCAATTCATAGTATCACAATGCTACTTTTTTCGGTCTTGTTACCGTATTTCCGCGCATATAAAGCCATGTCGTTATAGGTGAAACATCGTTGTTTCGGACCAAATTTTTGGAGAAAATTGCCTCGGTTTTATTAACGCCATGGCGCTAAAAGTGAGAGACGCGTACATGCGAAAAAAGTATGAACTTCGAGTACTCGTACGGTGCCGTTGCACGTTCATGTCGAGCATCCATGTACTTTCAATTTTCCCTGAAAATTTCGAATTGTGAACCTATTGTGTACAAGGTGGCATACAAACTTATGTGAAGGTGCGGTGGCGGTATGGCATGTGACAGTGGGGATGCCGATGGGTACATGCAGAGAGAATCACCGCTACTGTAGGTTCACTGAAAGAATTGAACTCACCTTTAACGCCAGATGCAACTTCCTCCACATTGAATTTTGTTCACTTATAACGCCATTGCTTTATAAGTGAGGGTGGCCTTATATTTGGATATAACGCCATGGCTTTATATGCGCGGAAATACAGCATGTACTGTGTACCCATTTCAAGTCCCATTGTGTACGGCTAGTGTACTGTGCCTATAGCTCCTGTAGAGTCTGGATCTGATGTCTTGCTTTCCGCACGTTCTGTTCTCGCTGTGCACAACCTCACACACACACGGATGTCCAGCAGTGCCACAGTGGTTTGGTGGTAGCTCTCCTGTTCGGCGGCAGCATTTCATGACTGTGGGTGTTTGCTTTGGGCATGTGTGTGTGTTTGTGTGTGTGTATGTGTGTGTGTGTGTGTGTGTGTATGTAGGGATGGCACTGGTGAAGGCTACATGAAGGTATGTATGCAACATGACGTTGTTTTTGAAACATTGTCGTCTCACCAAGGCCTGTGGCCAATAAGCATAAGCAAAGATCGTTTTTTGTTGTCTTTGGGTTGTGGGCCGTGCAGCCATTGGGATTCTTGTTCTGTCGTTACCATGTCTTCAGCGGCGTGTTGTTGACTTTGTATGAATGTCATTCTGCCATTTGCCATGCCACACGCTCCAGCCATCCAACGGAGGTCCTGATCCTGCACGCCTCTCTCTTCTGCCCGAGCCACCGCCACCGTCAGAACTTCTGTCCGATGAAGACTTGCCACCGGGAGATCCCTCTCGCCTGTCACAGTTTGGAGTGAGCTGCCCTTGGCTTGTGTGCTGCCACTCCCTGTCACATTCTCTCTCTCTCTCTCTCTCTCTCTCTCTCTCTCTCTCTCTCTCTCTCTCTCTCTCTCTCTCTCTCTCTCTCTCTCTCTCTTACACACACACACACACACTAAATGTGTGCACATCGTTGCCGTTGCATTCACAGCCTCGCCACAGCTTAGCTCGGATTTCGGTGACTGAGTGGAGATAGCTAATGGGCACTAGAGTGCACGATTTGTGAAAGGAATGCTGGTCACCTAATTCTACATTGCACCTGAAACCTGGCACCGAAATTTTAATGCACCAAAAATTACATGTCTTACAGTATTTCACTGGTTTGAGTGAAAAACACAGTAATTCCAAGCCTATAGCATGCTTCCCTTTTGTGTGTGTGTGATCACGTGATGCCTTTAGATCTCCAAGTCCGAACCGACAGCTCCGACTGACGAGTCTTCGGAAGATGATAATCGCACCACTGAGGCGGTCGAGGCCAAGGCTGGATCTTCGGACGAAGAAGATGACGATGAGGAAGACAAGGTATGTGCACATTCTCCATCTACAGTATGCCACATGTTATAAGTCGACCCCTAGTTGTGGCCTCGATTTCCCAGTTCAAGGGTAGTTAGACCCCGATTGTAAGTCGACTACCCCCCCTACACAGCACATGTAACATACACTTGGGAATATCCTATGCCAGTGCATAGGCTATTCCCAAGTTTACATGTATGTTAAAGACATGCATTCCACAAAGTATTTGGATTGACACAGAAAATCCCTACGTTTTGACGTACGACACAAACATGTATGTTAACAGGTGGGCTGGGTTGGAGGGCAGGATTTGATATTTTGTAAGAACAGTAACCGTATCGAATGGCCATGTCACATCGCTACGGGCAAAACGGCCTGCACTCGTAGGGGCTAGGTATCTGTGGCGTGCGCGGCGTCTTCCCTTCTGCTCGTGGCCGTGACTTCCGGCTTGTGTTCATTTCTGTGTGTTGTTGTGCATTGTGTCTCCTGCAACGTGTAGCGTGCGCATCCGGAGCCCTCCGTGTTCTTCGCCGACGCGCCCACCGACAAGCCGGAAGAATAATGAAACAAGCGGCGCGGCGAGTGCCAGAGTGTGAGTGAATGCCGTCACAAATTCAAACCGAATTCCTGTACAGTAGATTTTAGAAAGTAGTTGGAACACTAACGCCGTTATGCCTGAGATGTATAATATTCTCTTTGTTTGGCCGTGCTCTGTGTCAAATGCCTTCCTCCGCCTTGCAGTTCATAGACAAAGTGGTTCCATACGATTTTTTCAATTTTTACATCCAAGTTTTAGTAGTCTTTTCGCTGTATTTGTTGAGCCCCGTGTCCCCTCCCCTGGTCGCTATTGCCCCAAATTCCGATCATGTGATCGCAAGAGAGAAAGAGAGTATTTTCGCTTCTTGGCCCATTAGTAATTCTATCTTCTTGTTTGTCCTTTTTGTAAATTTTTGCGCGTTCCTGCTTTTTCCCATTGAGTCTGGGTCGCCGTGTCTTGTTGCTGCTATTTCCGACTCTCCCTCACAGCTGTCTGGGCGTTTTTATCACTAACCTTTTTATTATTATTGCGGGTACGTCGCCGTGTTCACTCAGGGGGGCATTTATCCTGTGAATGATCGAATAATAATTTTTAGTACCAGCACTCTCCTGCCAGGTGCCACAACCACCGTTGTGATTATGGCGCTGAGTAATCGCTATGCTTCGGCGTTGGAAAAGGACAATAGTTGTTGAACTGAAGGCGAATGAAGTGCTTGTCCATGCGCATGCCCGTGTGAGTGCTTCGGAAATGTTTGCATCAAGACAGGAGGCCATGACTCATAAGGAGTACAGTGTACTATGGTTGTGCTCGATGAAATCCGACCCAAAGTGCGTATTTGGCGCCCTCAAGTAGCACGCCATTGGCATTAACGCCCTGGAAGTGGCACGAATGCTGCTGTACGTACACATGTACAAATACAGTGATGTAATCGAAACTAGTCCAGGGTTGCCAGCTTTGCACTTCTGGTCGGATTTCACCTAGCGCAACTGTAGTACCGGTATGCAACTGTGCTTGCGGGTCAGTGCTGCTGCCTTCGTTGTGTACCGTATTTTACCGGTTGTAAGTCGACTCCGGATATGTCGACCCCCGTATCCGGAGGTCTCAATTCTGCGTTTTAAAGTTTTCACCCAAAGAAGCACTACTAACCACCTCCTGCTAATAACACATCAACAAATCATGTGAACATTCCTTATTGGAGAGTATAACGTCCCAATCCTTGAAAAGGCCAATAAACTGGCAAAAATGTGTAAACATGGTGCACTGGTGCCTGCGGTGCATGCAGCTCATTTTTTGTAAGATACAGTACTGATAGTTCCCGGTTTAATATTAGTCGAATCCCGGTTGAAAGTCGACCCCCAGGCCCAGTGCAGTCCCCCACCCTTTCTCCTTCTATTTTAAGTCGTAAAATGTCGACTTACAACCGGAAAAATATGGTAACCAGTCTGCATCATCATGCCCTGCACATTCACCCACTAAAACCCGCTATCTCAGCAATATCGTTCATGTACAAGTAAAATTCAGACGGGAAATTCAGTACTGTATAACATGTAATTTTAGGTGTAGTAAAATTTCGGTGTCGGGGACCTGCCAGGTTTCAGGTGTATTAGATGTACCGGTACTTGTAGAATTAGGTGACCAGCGTTCCCTGCACACACACACGCACAGTGCATACTCCAGTGCCATTTACTGAAGTAGGTGTAATTAAATTTAGGTGCGTGGTTTCTCTACCGAAATTAAAGCTACACCGATATTTTTTTTCTTCAGTATAACCAAGCCTCTTGTACGGGCAAAATAAACACTATTACGAGTGCAACCTCAACAGCACCGGACTGAGAAAAACGAGCAAAAATGGCTGTGAAAACAGTCGAGAGAGCAAAAATGGCTGTGAAAACAGTCGAGAGAGCAAAAATGGCTGTGAAAACAGTCGAGAGAGCAAAAATGGCTGTGAAAACAGTCGAGAGAGCAAAAATGGCTGTGAAAACAGTCTAGTATGAAGCCTTGGGAGGGAGCTTTAGATGCTGGTCATGGCAACCGCAAATCGGGCCGCGTCGTTTGCATCTGAGGGCACTCGGTGCCGATGGCCTCGCAGACTGGCAACAGCAGCACGGATGAGGGCAAAGCTGAGTTTACATCGGATGTAGGAGATTGTGGCAGTGTACGGCTCCTGCTTCTTGTCGGCGAGCATCGATGCCAGCCGAGCATAGAGTGCTGTCGCAGCTTTGCCATACACTCCAGTGTGATACATGTACAGTATTGTTCTTGTTGTGTGTGCTGTTGTGTGTGAACTATACTTTTGTGGGTCATAGGCTGTTCATATTCTTCGCATTATTACTAGACTGCGACTCGTACTGTAACAGTGTAATGCTGGACAAATACAAGGGAACTATTCCCTGGTCCCTTGGGCTACCTATTACGAGTAAAATGTGACCTGACATTGTAATTATTGTACCGGTTACGGGTAGTCATTTTATTGACACAGGATGAGGTAGCAAAGCGCACGCTTGTGGATCTACGCAACTATCAACTACAGTGTACAGTAAAACCTGTCAAGGCGACCACTCAGATAAGGCGACCACCTGTCCTAGAAGACCACTGAAACCAGCATCAAGGGATGCTATTTCCAGTCAAATGACCATGGATAAGGAGACCACCTTGCACCTGGTAACAGAGACCACATTTTGAAGGTCCCTCGAGCGGTCGTCTTAGACAGGTTTCACTGTAGTTACTGTCATTGTACAGACAGTGCTACTACAGTACATGTACTTCAAGGCTTTGTTCTCAAACCTCGTGCGCGCATGTCGTGTGCATGACCACGCGCGCGCGGTCCACAGAGGCACTACACAGGCGCGGGCGAGACTCCAGTCTCCACTGTCTGATATGACTGTACTGAGTCATTTTCATCGCCCCATCAGCTGATCAGCAGCACCATACACGCAAAAAGTCAATGCATGCACCAGGACACCACAGTCCACACTCCTTTCACTCTACCCTGGACTCAGTCTCTGGTTGGAACATACAATCATGTACCGATCTACTGGTCTGTAGTCGAGTCAGGTATAGTACGAGTTCTTGAGTTTTGTCGCGCGTGATCACTGAATGCATGATATGACGTCCATTGTGCCTGAGCGCGAGTGACGCACCCATGACTGTGACGAGTACTCGAGTGTTGACACGTCATTGTCTATGGTAATGTTTACCTGTCTAGTACTGTAGTAGCAGCTAGCTAGCTAGCTAGCGCCTGTTATGTTTACCGATCGAAGCCAGGTTTCCCCCAATCTACCTCCCATGCAAACGCAACAACGTCTTCTCCGATCCGAAAGGCTGTTCGAAGATACAATGCAGATTTTAATTTTATGACTGACCATAGTTGAAGATCCTTTGGCTTTGATCTGCGACTTTCCTCCCCATTGTTCTCCTGAAAAGACCTTGTATTACTACAACTAATACTTAGTACAAGTACCCGCATCATTCATTCTCCCGCGATACGACCAGAGTGGCCTAGTACATAGTGGGGTAGCTTTTCAGCTACTGTCTTGCTTCACGGTGCTTGCGCACTGAGCGATGTGAAGTCGAAGAAGCAGGTGGTCCCCGGCTGCATCACCTCGACGTAGCCTAGCCTAGCCAAGTCTTAGATTTTTTTGAAAGTCCTTTAGTATTAAAATTTTGTGCTGTGGGCCAGTCGACAGTACAAGAAACGCAAGCACTCCTAATCAGCTGCTGCAGTTGTGCCGTATTTGCTGTCTGCGACTCTGAAATAGTCGATTCGGTGCGCTACAATTGGGTGCCGGCCAGTGCCTTGCAGGATTCTTAATCTTATCATCATTCGCCAGCGCCCCAAGCCAATCAGTCATCGGATCCGATCCACCACAAAGTTATTGTTTTTTTGTAATTGGAGTAAATACTGTAAATATTTTAGAATGCTGCGCAGGCTTCGCAACATAAAGGACGGGCGCAATGGCTCAGGGCACGAGAGCGCTAGCCACCAACGGGACCAACGGGATTATTATCGCCGCAGGAGCAACACGGCAGACTCGCGGGGTAGTGGCACCCGCAGCGGCAGGGATCAGTCAGGAGGGTCGCTTCGACGTCAATCTTTCTCCAACGCATTGGACGAGGCGTGGAGTGCCGAGTGTAAAGCAATCGCATTGTGGGATTTCAGCAGCGACGACGGCCGGGACCTATCCTTCCGCAGGGGAGACTGCATAGCGGTATTGACACGGACCGAGTCGCAGTTTGACTGGTGGGAAGGTGCCCTGCGGGACAAAACCGGAATCTTTCCGGCTAACTACGTAAGATTGGTCACAGCCCAAGTAAAGATAACGGACCTGCTCAAGAACTCGTAATGGCTGGAGAGCTAGCAGACCACCTACGGCAATGCCCAGTGAGCATCTAGTCTAGCTCGTGTGTCCACATTGGGTAAGATCGTAGTCAGGTCCAGTGAGCCACGTGCATACACACACACACACACACACACACACGCACACACACACACACACACACACACACACACACACACACACACACACACACACACACACACACACACACACACACACACAAACACCATCACACACATACACACACACACACACACACGCACGCACGCATAAACACACCACCACCAGAACTTTACAGGGAACTTACTTGCAATGATGGCATCCCCTTGGCTCGGTTCACAATCTCCTCATCCACTATTGCATTAGTACAGCTTTGGACATGCTCATGAGACTCTGGAGTCAGTGTTGACACAAGAGCATGCACGTCACAGACAGCTGTACACCATGCTACAGCCTTCATTGCAATAGTGACAGAGCTTGAAGACGGCAAACGAAACACCGTCTGAGCCGTGACGAGCCTGCCCATTACTGTAACGTGCCACTTTTAAACCCGGTTCAGTTGGCAACCCACGAATTGTGCCGGATCTGACTTCAACCCTAACTTGAGTTTCCGTTACGTTTGACGTGAGCACTGGGCATTATGCAATACTGAATTATTATTATAAGGCTTTCCCTACATCTGCCTGCCCGAGCGGTATTACACTTGACTGGGCTAACTGGTTGGCCTGTTACCATGGTTACAAGCCTCATGCATCCCTAACTCACCCCAGCCAGCCTAGACTGACATACTGCAGTAGAGCCATAGTAGCTTTTTTAAAAATAAATATTTATCTTAAAAGTTAGGAAATCTGGATTTGCAGCTGTTTTGCAGCCCTCTGAGTCAATATATTTGCCCATATCTAGGGGAATCCATAAATATAAAGACAAATCTACAGTCAAAGTTGCTGCCACTATAACCTACGCGGCTACGGTTCTTCTCCTTCTTTCTTTCTTTCTTTTTTTTTATAAAGGTCACTCCTACCGCTATCTATCGCAGCTATCTTCCTCCTTTTGAGTTGTTTATGACACAAAGGGTTTGCAAACGCTCTGCTGAAACCGAGTGGTTGGTACAGGTTGGACCGGAATGAATCAGTCTTGGCATGTTGGGGCTGAGCATTCCATCGCACTGACAGAAGTAGAAGTAGAACCTGGGTTTCCTGACTTGATTGCTTTCGCGGCATGATTGCTGAGACGATATTCTGAGTTATAGCAGAACAAATACTCAATGCACAGTTGCGCTCGGTGAAATCCAACCCAAAGTGCAAAGCTAGCGCCCGGGACCAGTTCCGATTATATCATTGTATTTGCACATGTGTACGTACAGCCGCATTCGTGCCACTTCCAGGGTGTCAATGGCCGCGCAAGTTGAGGGTGCCAAGCATGCACTCTGGGTCGGATTTCACGGGGTGCAACTGTTCTGTGTGCACAATGCAGCATCAATAAGTACATGACTGTATTACAATCGTAGTTTCAATCATGTACTAAGTACTAGTACGTTGTACATGAGTAACATCATGCTTGTAGATCAGTCATGAGGTGACTAGTCAATACAATGCTGTAGGATGTACACAGCCAGGCCATGATTTAGCAATTGTAGAACCATCTGTTCTCCTAGATACACACATGCACTGGTAAGTGAAAGAAAAGAAGAGATGAAGCGCGCATGCAGATATCAGGTCAATCAACGTACACATCACGGTCCAAGTTATTGCGTCCGTTGTATAAGTGCGGAGATGGCTCAGGGCTGGGAGCAGGAGAGTAAAATCCTCAGACAGCACCGTATGGGAGGCTCTAGCATGCAGAAGCAAGACCGCCGTGCGCGTTAACTCTAGCAATGGCAAGAACAATGGCACAATGGTGTCAACTCATTGTACAGATGCTATTACATGTGCACATTCCCAATCTACCTCGGACTCCCAACAGTCTCAACTCTATGAAGTAGGTCATTGGTTGGCTCCGATACTCAAACGCTGCCTGTTGTATTGGCGTTGACGGCAACATCAGCAGTGAAGTGTGCATCACGCAGTGTTAGTCGACTCGGGCTCGCTCTGTGACGGAGCGGTTTCTTCGAGCACAGCCGCAAAGACCTCGATCTCCTGAACGGTGAAGTTGGTCTTGCCGGCGAGGCTGCTGAGCAGTGCCGTCTCGCTGTCCACTTTGCCGTACGACAGGGGAAAGCTGGAGTATCCGGTCGTGCTCTGTTGACTGTTGGCGGCGATGTGCAGATCAAAACCCGATCCAAACGTAGGACCATGGCTGAGGGAGAAAACAAGATCCGTGCAAAACAGTTGAAAACACCGAGTCCACACTTTTCAATACACTATGGAGGGCTATTTTGTCTTTTCTCGCTAATGACCTGATAGCCTGTGTCACCACAGAAGCTATATGCCCGGCAGAGGCTGAATAATCACACACCCAACTCGCAAGGGAGAAACAACGGACAATGAGAAAAGATAAGAACGGATAGCACAGAAGGAAGGGAAAGACCAAGAAGGAATGCACAGGATAGCAACAGTGCAACATGAAGTACAGTTTGAACTTACCCTGGATGATGCCACAGCGCAGAGTTGGTCTTGGTGACGTTGTAACGCATGGGTCCTTTGCCAGACGACTGCTGTAGCGTGAACAGAAACGACCTGCGGCCGGGCAATGCAATACGAACCGGAGCAACGTCCAGCGTGAAAACATGACGGTATCTAACGTTCACGATACGAGAACGGCACAGCCAACGTACTCGTACTCCACATCCGACGACAAATACAGGGGGCAGTGCACTCACATGCAGGGGTATTGTGGATACAATAGTGGGTATATGCTGGGATGATCTGATCCAGGGTGTTGAAGCACCAGTGTTCATTGGCATGCAGCTCTTCTATTTACAGTATCCCGCTAACCGTTTACCTTGTCGACTTGACAAAGCGACCCTTGGACGGCTGGCTAGTCCAAGATTGCTCGGCATAACCTCCAAACAAACTGTTATCAGTGGACTGGAAAACAAGAGTGATAAAGTGGAGAAAAAACGTTTCAAAAACTTGAGCAAATTGTTCGCATTTCAGACCGACAAAGCTGTGTGGCCCAATAGTGAACAGTGAAAAGCACCCAGTGACTTGATATAAAAAGACTCTACCCTGTGCTTTAGCCATTGCTATTATGGTACTAGCACATTATCTGCATGACTCCAGCCTCTCCAGTCCTCTCCACTGCCGGGCCACAATCTCCCGGTGAAGTTTGGGAATAGAGATGAGCAGTCTCTGAAGAGTGAAGACAGAATGACGATCTCGTGTTGCAGTGGTTGCTTGCATATGACGTGACGTCATGTGCAAGCAACGATCTAAGCATGCACAGAAGCTCCGAGATGTTCTAGTGACTGGGAAACGGTGTAAGCACAGACTCTCGAAGCCTTACCCACCAGTGACATGTGATACTGTGACGATGTATCACATGTTTGTCCACCTCGTACAGGTCACAAATACGCAAATACTGGTGGGTAAGGCTTCGAGAGTCTGTGCTTACACCGTCTTGTGGAATGCAAGCACTAGCCAAGCAAAAGATTCACCACGGGCGACTAACCACATCCACAACATTTGTAACGTCAAACCTAACAATTAAAGTTGCCAGAATGTCAGCCACGAGATTGGCCTCCAAATAAGAGCTTGAAGACAAGGCTACCGTCATCGGAAAGTACTTTGCCCAGAAGTGCAGCCTAGAAGGTGCATTTGCAGAATCATCGGGACCGTTACCGCATGTCCGCTGGCGCACTGCTAATACGCTCGCAACAGTCCACTTCCGCCAAGCCACCGTACGCCAGACACTCCGAGCTCTCAACCCCAGTAAAGCCACATGGCCTGATGCAGTAAATGCTAGGGTGCTGAAGGAATGTGCCGACCCTCTGGCCCTGCCTCTATCCAAGCTGTTTACTCTGTGCTTCCGCAGTGGTCACCAATCTGCCATGTAGAAAGCTACCAGCGTTGTACCAGTACACAAGAAAGGCCCAAAGTCAAGCCCGAGAAGCTACCGATCAATATCACTGACGATAATGTCTAAGTGCATGGAGTCCATCGTGAACACCAGCCTGTCCAACTTCCTGAAGAAGAATGACATTCTTTCTCACAGGCAGTCCGACTTTCGCACTGGACTGGGAACCTCCGATCTGCTGATTGCTCCTCAGCATGCCGGAGTGGAGCCTGATAGCTGCCGGTGGAGGCCTCGTCAGGGTCCTTGCAGTAGATGTTGCACACAAATGCACATACTTACATACACACATCTCCATACACACCCCTATCCACCGGAGCACTTTATTTTCTCTTTTTTCTCCGTTTCTCACATGTTTTTATACGGACAATTCACCATCATAATTATGTAGCAGAGCTCAAAAGAAAGAGAAGTGGAACGGTTGGCATTGCCGCCCTGTACGTAAAACTGTTCTATCATGTACAACATCAGCCTGTCAGGGGCGTAGCCTAGCCCTTTTTAGTCTGCTTCGGAAGGTCATGTGACACAACAATGACAACATAGTGTATAAAATTCACCCTTTTTTCGTTTTTGTAGCCAAGGATACTGCCTCAGCCAGCTACTTTTATTTGGAATTTTCGCCGTAATGCCGGACCATACATCACTTTCCTTTGATCTTGAATTGTACTATCGGCTGCTTCTTGCAAACGTTCCGATGCCGGAGGCTCTGACATTTGGACTTGCAATCAAACATGCTTCTTTTCCTCGAATGGCAGGGAGCAGCAAGTTGCATCAAAACCTGCACAGTGTAGGTACTTCACACCAGGGAGGACAGTGTAGTCACTTCACACCAGGGAGGACAGTGTAGTCACTTCACACCAGGGAGGACAGTGTAGTCACTTCACACCAGGGAGGACAGTGTAGTCACTTCACACCAGGGAGTACAGTGTAGTCACTTCACACCAGGGAGGACAGTGTAGTCACTTCACACCAGGGAGGACAGTGTAGTCACTTCACACCAGGGAGGACAGTGTAGTCACTTCACACCAGGGAGGACAGTGTAGTCACTTCACACCAGGGAGGACAGTGTAGTCACTTCACACCAGGGAGGACAGTGTAGTCACTTCACACCAGGGAGGACAGTGTAGTCACTTCACACCAGGGAGGACAGTGTAGTCACTTCACACCAGGGAGGACAGTGTAGTCACTTCACACCAGGGAGGACAGTGTAGTCACTTCACACCAGGGAGCGGCAAGGTATGGGTATCTTACTACTCGCTGCTCCACACTGCGCTGCACCACATGTGCATTTGCATACAATGTACTATAATGTACTCCTGTGGTCACGACGGGACTCGAACTCAGCCCCCTCCCCCGCTGCTGTTTTACGGCTTGCAAAGGTACCAACAATGGCTGCATGTACAATCATGTTCAAGACTTACACAATACCATGTACAATCATGTATGAAGGACCTGCCCGGTATGTGAACAGGCCCACTCCACACATCGACCCATGCATTGAATGAACATTGAACGCGGGCACTGTGCGATACTTTTATCCTGTTTTGGGCGTTTTGCGGACATGGCACGACAAACTCTAGGTGCTTTCTCTAGGTTTGCGAATAGCGCCTAGCCTGAAATGCACTGTTTGCTCAGCATTACCTTGACTAATACTAGCGTTGGACCCTTGTTGTCGCACTTGCGATGGAAGGACTTGGCGCTGAAGCCATCACGTGTGCCCCGATACAAACACTGCCACTGTTGCCCACTGCACCCGCACCTGCACAAGCACACACATCGCACACCGTGACCGGAGCATAACAACAGACAGGGGCCCAGTAAGTAGCTGTGCACAGTGTATTTAGCCGCAAATGTGGAGGAATTCTCAACAGAAGTGTAACCTATAGGAAAGGTGTTTGCTCTCCACACCGGAGCTCGTGCTTTCCGCCGATTTGACTTGACACTTGACATTATCTCGTACAATTGTAACCGTCAAAAAGAGAATTCACGGTCCGCTTGAGACTCAGTTAGAGTTGTCAGCATCCGTAGGAACGCCACCACCCTGCAACGATCTAGGGATTGTAACCTAGCTTTGGTAACCATGGCTACCTATGCTTACTCCCTGCCCATTGCTTACCAGTCGTTGATCAAGTGCTGGTAGCGCATGCGCTGCTGCGTCAGTAGCTGGGTGCTGTGGAAAAGACGGTGGGAGACGCGTGCCTGCAGACGTGTGTCCGTTGTCGGATCAAAGTGAGCTGGTACAGCTGCATAGCGATATCTAGCGCAGTGGATCATACAGGATACACAGTACCAGTCGATGAATGATAATTGAATGGTCAATTGAATGGTTAATTCACAGGTCTATAATGACTCTATTTGCTACCACATGCAGTTCCTCGCTGTGTTACACATACCA